TCTCTGCGAGTATATAGCTATGTGAGAAATAAACGGCAGTATGCAGTTGCAAGTGCTGCCTTTGCTCTGCATCCCCTGTGTCCTGGTGATTTCGTAGACCCTTACCCAGGGACCCCAACGCCCTAGACGTTGACAAGCATCCCATTCTCAATTTTGCCTCAGGTCCTGATCTCAGGGGCGTGAGATGGAGCCCCATATCAGGCGCAGCACGGAGTCTGCTTGAGATTCTCTCTCTCTCCCTCTGCCTTTCCCTCTGCTCATATGCGCGCGCTCTCTCTCTAAATTAAAAAAAAAAGAAAAAATAAATAAAAAAAGAATGCAGGCTCTAGAGCCAGACTGCCTTGATTAGAATCTCAGCTTCATCACTTAAGAGCTGTGTATATTTGGGCAAGTTATTTAACTTGTGTCTGTTTTCTCGGCCAGAATATAGGACAATAATACCATCTATCCGCCAGGTTGTAAAGAAGATTTAAATAGGTTAACACGTGTAAAATATTTAAAATAGTGCCTGGGACATGGTGAATGTTTAATAAAGGTTACCATTATTATTTTAAGTCTTTTTGGGAAAAAAAACTAATCCTAGAAAAAAAGTGGAAAAAAAAGTACTCATAATGACACAAAAAACACTTTGACTTAACAAATACAAAATTGTTTTTATACACTCAGCTTTGTAAGTTACGTAGAAAAAATAAAGACTAGCAAGAAATATACTAAAATATGAAAACAATAATTGCCTCTGATTATTGGTAAGTTCTCTGGGTTTTTCATGCTTTCTGTACTCTCCAAATGTTCTATAGTGTGCACATATTGTGCCTGTAGTAAGGATAAAATGAAAATGCTCCCTAAGTGCCCAGGGCTTTCTCAGGGCAGGGCTCTTCAGAGAGGTGTAGGGATCTTCCCCTTCAGATTTATCAGCGTCTCAGTTCATCTGCTTGCTGTGAGGTCTTGCACCCTTCTCCAGTGACAGCAACTCAATTCTTCTTGGCAAGCCAAGCCTCGAGGAGAATCCTAAGGCTTCTCAACAACCATACTAGGTCCCTGCCTTCCAGAAGGAATTTCTGGGACATTGTTCTTCATATACGGGGTGGGGGCGGAGGGTGGGGCATGGAACCGTGTGACAACCTAATGAAAGTCTTGGACACTCTCCACAAGAGGTCACCCTGACAGGGTTTCACACACAACTTCAGGGATCCCTATTCTTTTTCCCTTCCAGGGTACAGAAGCCTGTTCCAGAGCAGGGGCCAAGATCATTCTTTCCATCCAGCATGCCCTTTTGTGGTGCCACAACTTGATACATTCCTGCTCCATGATGTGGTTCCAATGTACCCTCCTCTATGGGGCCTTTCCCAGTTCAACCACGATGAGCTCTAGGGGAAAGAACACTGGCCTCACATCAGGATCTTGGGTTTGAATTCTAGCTTTGAGACACAATGCCATGGGATGTTATGCAAGCAACAAAACTGCTTTGAGATTCAGCCTCAGGCAAAAAAATGATACTATCAACTTCAGTGAGAAGGTGTTAAGATTAAATCCCACTAAGAACAGATATATTCTTGGGGCGCCTGAGTGGCTCAGTCGTTAAGCGTCTGCCTTCGGCTCAGGTCATGATCCCAGGGTCCTGGGATCGAGCCCCGCATCGGGCTCCCTGCTAGGCGGGGAGCCTGCTTCTCCCTCTCCCACTCCCCCTGCTTCTGTTCCCTCTCTAGCTGTTTCTCTCTCTGTCAAATAAATAAATAAATAATCTTTAAAAAAAAAAAAAAAAAGAACAGATATATTCTTGATTTCGTTCTGTTGACTCTGCCCACCCAGAGCTCATCACTCGGCTTACACTACTTAACAGATGTATTGAACACCTGTGGTGCACCAGGCCTTTGCTAGGCAGACAGGGATGAACAAGGCAGCCGGCGCTCAAGGAGCTCAGCTCTGGGGGGAGATGAGCAGGTCAACAATGATCGTGAGAGACTTGCTCCAGTGGAGGAGCTGTGGGCCCTCTGGGGATGCAGAGGCAGGGGTGTCAGCAGGTGGGGAAGCAGCTTTCCCAGTGGAGATGGCGCTTAGCTAAGCCCGAGGGGACAGCATCTGTTGGATGGACAGGAGCATGGAAGGGTGTTCCAGGTGGCATGGACAGCATGTATTAGGGCTCAACAGGAAAGCCGGGTGGGACTGGATTTGTTCCCCATACATGCGTAACAGAGGCAGGCGTAAGTATTCATGCCTTACAGAGGGCACTGGTAGGCAGTACCAGCCCCTCTGAGTCCTTGGTGAATAAATGAATGAGTGAGTGAATATTAGGCGGGTCTGAAAACTATCAGAGATGAGAAACAGCTTTAAATGTACAGTTGTTTACACTTAATTTCAAAGCATTCTGAGTCAAAGGGGTAGTTTAGTAATATCCCTGTGCCACTGTGGAGCTGGGCTCATTGCTTTTGGTGAGGAATTTCAGCCTTTGCTAGCTCATTCTTCTAGCACTGGGGCCTCGGTGTCCTGCTTGCATGCATGTGTACATCATCTCCCTCAGAAGGCCTCTCCCCAGACTCTCTCCTGTTCATGTTTTCATAAGGCCCTCTGACCACACCTGGTGTAGCAGTGACCCCAGTGTCCCCACCAACACTCACAGGGGGTGCATCCTGCTTTCCTGGAGCTGGAACCCTCAACCCTCTTACCACCTAGGAGTACTGACCACCCTAGCCTCTGGTAAATTTGCTTTACGATTTCATCACAGCTGAAAATAGCCTCTGAAGGTGACTCACCTAATCTAGTTTTACTTTCTGCAGCCAAAGAACATGGTCATCCCACAATACAACGCTGACAAAACCTTTTCTTTTTTAAGATTTATTTATTTATTTTAGAGAGAGAGTGTGTGTAAGTGGGGTGAGGGGTAGAAGGAGAGGGGGAGAGAGAATCTCAAGCAGACTCCACGGTGAGCGCGGAGCCCAATGTGAGGCTTGATCTCACAACCCTGAGATCATGACCTGAGCTGAAACCAAGAGTCGGACGCTCAACCAACTGAGCCACCCAGGTGCCCTGACAAAGCCTTTTTGAGCAATCATTTCCCATTGAGGAGCTGAATTAGGAAGATCATAAATTCTCACACTGCATGGTTCTTTAGTCATACAAACATGCATGGAGGGAAAGGGGTTAATTATTTGCCCATTGTAAAATCGTGAATCCCCAAGACTCAAAAAGATGTAGCTTCTTGAAGAAGCAGTCCGCCTTTGAGCATCATCTTCTAAAAAAGAAATACATCTAGTTTACCTGGCACTCAGCTTTGCTAAAAGTTTTGCTACTGAAGTAAACATATTGTAAGTTTAAAATAAAGTTTGGAGGTTATAGCTGAATTAGAAATCCCATTTGTTTGCCAAATAAAACAAAATACTAAGCTAAAAAGGAATACAGTTTTAATATTGAAAGGTTTGATTATTTTGAGGAAAGCTCAATATGAATTATTTGTCCTACATAAGCGAAAAATATCTAAATGTGCAAGGACACACTTTCCTTATTGGGTACTTACTACATGCCAGGCACTGTTTTACTTGGTTTATCCATGTAGCTCATTTAATCTTGACAGTCCCTCTCCTCCATTTTTGGATGAGAAAATAGGCACAGAGAGGTTAAGCAACCACATCACAGGCTAAGAAGGGGTGAGGTTTGGATCTGAACCTGGCCGACTCTGGAGTATGTGCCTTTAGTCACCATAACATACTGCTTAAAGAATCCTTAAGGGGGGGCACCTGGGTGGCTCAGTGGGTTAAGACGCCCAACTCTTGATTTTGGCTCAGGTAGTGATCTCAGGGTCCTGGCATCCAGCCCCACCTGGGGCTCTGTGCTGGGCGTAGAGCCTGCTTGAGGATTCTCTCTCTGCCCCTCCCTCCCTCCAAAATAAAAATAAATCAAAAAAAAAAAAAAAAAAGAACCCTTAAAGAAGTGAGCCATGCTCATTCTGTGAAATTGTATGCAGGTATTTTTTCAAATTTTATTTTAGAAGAATATTTAATGATGAAAAATGCTCCTAATATAGTGATAGGTACAGGAACAAAACTGTATATACTTAAGAGTATAATCGAATCAGGGGCGCCTGAGTGGCTCAGTCTGTTAAGCGTCTGCCTTTGGCTCAGGTCATGATCCCAGCGTCCTGGGATGGAGCCCTGAATCGGGCTCCCTACTCAGCGGGAAGCCTGCTTCTCCCTCTCCCACTCCCCCTGCTTGTGTTCCCTCTCTCGCTGTGTCTCTCTCTGTCAAATAAATAAATCTTAAACAAAAAAGAGTATAATCGAATCAGTGTGTGTATATACACACATATGCACATGCATGTACATATGCATGCACATGCATGTGCAAGCACACACAGGCACATATATACACACACATTTTTCACACATACAAGAATGTAATCCCTCATGTTAGCAGTGGTTATCACCTGGGTGAAGGAATTCCTAATGGTTTTTACTTACTTTATATTTGTTCTCTTTCCCCAAAGTTCCCACCCTGAACATATATTTTTCCGCATATCAGCAAAACTACTATTTTGTAGTTTTACCGATCTCTGCTGTTCAGAGAAACACTTGCCTTACCAAGGAGCGAGGGGGCGCGGGTGGGACCCCAGCCGCCCTCGCCTCCCTCTCCCAGATGGAAAGAGCGGGCGGAGCAGGGCCGCCCGGTGTCCGCCCTCCCCGGGGCCAGCGCTTACTTTGCGAGTAACCAATCCCCGGGGTTCACAAGTGTTGCCATAGGGAGCCCCGGCTCACCGTCAACAGATGGCACCGGTGCGGTCCCCACTGCAATAAGCGGGTGCTCGCGATGGGGGTGGGAGGGTCTGCGGGGTCACTCCGGACAACTCCGGGGGGGTGGGACTGGGGGCGCGAGGACTGCGGGCGACAGCTGTCCCAGACTCCAGTTCCGAGTCGCCCGCCACCCAGGGGCGTCACGCCTGCCCCAAGCCCCACTCGAGCGCTTCCCTCTGAGGAAGCCCTCTTGGGCGGCCTCTGCACCCTTCGACTCACCTGCAAAGAAGACATGGTGACAGCACTCAGCCACTGCCGCACTCCTGAGGCACCGGTCCCTAGAGCCCGGGCGGCGGGCCTCCTTAAATCGAGGCGCGCCTCCGCCCGCCGGCTCCCATTGGCTGCGCTGTTGGTCCGGCCGGTTTCCATTGGCCACCAGTACTAGGGGGCGGGGCCTAGCAGTGAGTGGCACCTGCCCTGACCTCTGCGCCCGCCCGCGTCCCAAGCGGCGCGCCAGGGTTGTGAGCCGCCAGCGCTGCTGCAACTGGAAAGGCGAGGAGCAGGGAATTTAAATGAGTTCCTCTCCGCTCTTGGCTCGCTCCCCAGTTCTTTCTCAAGAGGTTGTTTGCAGGACATCGGGAAATCTCCCTAGGGCACGGACCTCAGTGGGGATTCCTTTTGGTATATATCTCCCTCTGCCCTCTCGTAATTCCTAGAAACCTGGATGGCAGTTTTTTGAGAACTCTCAAGCCTCCTCTCATATCTCTAGGCACACTTCATCAGGAATGACAAAGGCGTCTTCTCTTTAAAAAGCAAAAACACATTCTGAACACGTGCTGCAACCCCCCTAACTAGCTCTCGGTTATTGTAAAGGCACAGAAGCACGCACCTATTCAGTTTGACCCCATTCTCCAGGGCAACAAATCCAATGTCACTGCAAGTCTGCAGGCACACAGAATGGGGTTGTGATTCACATTTGATTAAGTTTTCAAAGAACTGAAACAGCATTTCCTGGTCATAGGAGGAGTTCATTTCCGACTCTTTTAAGAAGAAACCTTCGTGGAGCGGAATGACTGGAAGAACTGACAAATTCAGGGTTTAGAGAGCTATCGATCTGAAACGTCTAACATAACAATGCAAGTGGTGGAGACGAAAGGACCCAAAACATTTTAGCCTGTTTTTGCATAAAACTACATTTAAAAAATATTTGCTTGGGGCGCCTGGGTGGCTCAGTCATTAAGCGTCTGCCTTCCGCTCAGGTCATGATCCCAGGAAGCTGGGATCGATCCCCGCGTCTGGCTCCCTGCTCAGCGGGAAGCCTGCTTCTCCCTCTCCCACTCCCCCTGCTTGTGTTCCCTCTCTGGCTGTCTCTCTCTATCAAATAAATAAATAAAATCTTTAAAAAAAATTTGCTTTACCTTTTCATGTAAATCCCTTGGTTTTTAAATCTCAAAAACACTTTCATGGTATAATCAATGAATTTTTAAGTAAAAGACAAAAAGCAAATGTTAGCAAAATCTACTGGCCAGGATTTTTTAGTTTTCAAATTTGCAGGTGATGGGAAATACACTGTGGGGTACAAAGGCAAATGGCAACTTCAGAACAGTGAGTGCTTTCTCTGCTGAGGAAGCCCTAACAGTGTTTCAGTAGGGAAATACTGGGGGCAAACTCCAGTACTGAGGTGTATTTAGAGCTGAGACATTTGGGCATTACAGTCATTATAAGAAATCAGGAAAAGGGGAAAGGGTAGGTACACTGTGCTCTGTTTTATTCTCTAAGTCTAGAATGTTCTTCTAAGAACTCTTTTCAAAGTATGTTCTTCTCTTGAGTTGCCCTCCCATAAACAGAGGCTAGAGCCATGGTGTCTTGTTCCGCGGAACAAAAAGAGAGAAGAGACAATTAAAATACTGATGTCTTCTGCCCAGTGATAATAATATATCAGGTACAGTAAAAACTCAGCTTTCCTTTGGGAGTGAGTCAATTTGGACAATCAAGTTCCCTTTTTTTTTTTTTTTTTTTACTATTTATTAAGTATTGATTACAAACCAATATACATACATCCATATATTTAAAATTCTAAAAATAATGGGCACATTTATGAACCTACCACCAGTTTAAGAAATAGAACACTACCTTTACCTTTGTGACTCTCCTGATTCCATTCCATCCTATCCTCCTTATTCATTCTTTCATTCATTCAAATAGTTATTGAGGGCCTAATATGAGCAAGGCACTGTTCTAGGTTCTTGAAAAACATTAGTCAACAGAATAAACAAGATCCTTATCCTTGCATTACATTCTGGTAGGGGGTCACAGACAATAACACATATGATAAGCAGATTATATAGTCTATTAAAAGGAGGTAATGTTATTATTTTTTTTAAATATTGTATTTATTTATTTGACAGAGACACAGTGAGAGAGGGAACACAAGCAGGGGGAGTGAGAGAGGGAGAAGCAGGCTTCCCGTGAGCAGGGAGCCCGATGCGGGGCTCGATGCGGAGCTCGATGCGGAGCTCGATCCCAGGACCCCAGGATCATGATCTGAGCCGAAGGCAGACGCTTAATGACTGAGCCACCCAGGCGCCCCATATGGATTTACTTCTAAGTAACTTTATAATTTTTTATTATGTTAGATTAAATGTTTTTAAAAATTTCCTTGTTTGTCCTTTTGTAACTGGTACAGAGAAAGGGGATTGATTTTTGTATGTTGACTCTTTATCCAGCAGTCTTGATAAATCTTTTATTTTTCAGTAAATTATTTTGGGTTTCCTATTTAGCAAACAATAGTCTATGAATAATGACAGTTTCATTTTGTCCTTTCCAATCCTCAGATCTTTCTTTTCTTTGCTTTTCTGCAGTAGCTGGGAACTGAGTATAATAATGAATAGGACAAGTAGTATATGATTCCTTAAAGGTAATGCTTCCAGAGTTTCACCATCAAATGTGGTATGTTCACTGCAGCTCGCTTATTTCAGTGGATATATATGTGTAGTATGTTTCTTCCTATTTGTAGTTTGGCAAAATTTGTTTTCATGAATGGATGTAGAATTTCATCAAAAGCTTTTTTTAAACATCTATTGGGATGATCATATGTGTCTTTAATCTTGTATTTTAATTTTTTTAGATTTTATTTATTTAATTGAGAGAGAGAGCATGAGCAAGAGAAAACATGAGTGGGGGGTGGATAGAGGGAGAGGGAGAAGCAGACTCCCTGCTGAGCAGGGAGCCTGACATGGGGCTCGATCCCAGGATCCTGGGATTACAACCTGAGCTGAAGGCAGACACCCAACTGATGAGCCACCCAGGCACCCCTTGAATTGTTTTTTGGGGGGTTCAAACTCACAACACAAAGATCAAGAGTTGCATGCTCTATGGACTGATCCAGCCAGGTGCCCTATGGGCTTTTTTGTTTGTTTATTTTTGCTTTTTGTTGTGGAGTTGTAGTTTTTATATATTCTGAATATTAATCCCTTATCATACATGATTTGCAAATATTTTCTCTCATTCTGTGGGTTTTCTTTTCACTCTTTTGATAGTGTCCTTTGATGTACACAAGATTTTATTTTATAATTTTTTTAAGTAGGCTCTATGTCCAACATGGAGCCCAATATGGGGCCTAAACTCACCACTGTGAGATCAAGACCTGAGCTGAGATCAAGAGCCAGGCGCTCAACCAACTGAGCCATCCAGGTACCCCAAAAAGTTTTAATTTTGATGCAGATCCAATTTATCTATTTTTTCTTTTGCTGTCTGTGCTTTTGTTGTCATATCCAAGATATCATTACCAAATGCAATGTCATGAAGATTTTCCCCTACGTTTTAAGAGTTTCAGTTTTAGCCCTTAAGTTTAAATCTTTGATCCACTTTGAGTTAATTTTTTTTTAAGATTGATTTATTTATTTTGGAGAGAGAGAGCAAGCACACAAGCAGGAGGGGCAGAGGGAGAGAGAGAATCTTAAGCAGATTCTGTGCTGAGCACAGAGCCTGATGCAGGGCGTGATCTCACAACCCTGAGATCATGACCCTGAGATCACGACTTAAGCCAAAACTGAGAGTTGGATGCTTAACTGACTGCCATCCAAGTGCCCCACTTTGAGTTAATTTTTGTATGGGATATAAGTAAGGGTTCAACTTCATTCATATGCATGTGGATATCCAGTTTTCCCAGCACCGTTTTTTGGAAAAAAACCTTCTTCCCCATTAAATTGTCTTGGTCTCCTTGTCAAAAATTAATTGACCATATATGTAGAGTTTATTTCTGGGCTCTCTATTCCACTGTCTGTCTTTATGCCAATACCACACTGTTTTGATTATTGTAGATTTGTAGTAAGTTTTTAATATCAGGAAGTGTGAGTCCTTCAATTTTGTTCTCCATTTCCAAGATTGTTTTGGCTATTCAGAGGTTCCTTGAGATCCAGTATGAATTTTAGGGTGGGTTTTTCTAATTCAGCAAAAACAGCCATTGGGATTTTAATAGGGATTGCATTGAATCTTTTTTCCCACAGTGCTTTTCATCACCTAATATACTATATATTTTACTTTCTTTGTTTTACTGTCCGTCTCCTCCATTAGAACTTTGGTTCACTGCTTTATCCCTAACTTAGAATTCAATAAATACTGTTATCTGTTGACAAAAGGAAGGAAGGAAACATTCTTATGTATCTAGCATCTGGCACATTGCTTGACATAAAAGATGCTCAATAAAAACCTGTGAATAAAGTAAAATGCTATTTATATTTTTCACCTAATACATAGTTATAGACATATATACATATTTCTACATTAAAAGTGCTTCTCAATCATTTGTTCTCATATTGCTTCAGAAAGAATTCTGTGATAATTTAATTCATATACATTTCTATACTTTAACTAATTCTAAAATTATAGGTTTATGTTTATGTATATGTATGGCATATTTTGAATAGTTATCTGCAGCTGACTTTATATCATATAGACACTTTATTTCCAAAATTACTGTTGCTGGCTCTTTAGGACCTATGGAAAATCTAAAGCCTAGCATCATACCACATTAGGCTTTTGCATGTAAAAATAAAACAAAACTCTAATAAATAGTCTACTTTAAAAAAAGGAGCGGGGGCGCCTGGGTGGCTCAGATGGTTAAGCGTCTGCCTTCAGCTCAGGTCATGATCCCAGGGTCCTGGGATCGAGTCCCACATTGGGCTCCCTGCTCAGTGGGGAGTCTGCTTCTCCCTCTCCCTCTGCCTCTTCCCCTGCTTGTGCTGTCTCAAATGAATAAATAAAATCTTAAAAAAAAAATCCCAGCTTTGTGACCATTTGATGTAAGGTTTTTCAAATCTCTCCTTTATAATAGAAAGACAGCTCTCTGCCAAGGCCCCTGACAACCTTGCATGTAGCCATGTAGGCAAGGCTTGACTGCAGTCTGAGTCTTGGCAGAATGCCTGGGATTCTTCCTGGAGCAAGGTCACAATCTTTTTTGTTTGTTTGTTTTAGAGAGAGAGAGAGGGAGTGGTGCAGGGGGTAAGGGGGTAGGGAGAGAGAGAGAATCTCACGACCCTGAGATCATGCCCTGAGCCAAAATCAAGAGTTGGATGCCTAACTGACGGAGCCACCCAAGTGCCCCAAGGTCCCTATCTTATGGGAAACTCCCACAAGGATGTTTCTCTTCCATATCTCTAGTTTTAGTGGAGACTAATGCTTTTCATGTTGCCCTCCCCTTCCCCCCATCACCTCGCCACCTTAGGGTACAGCTGTGGGCTTCTGTGTAAGTCTATGAAACTGCTCAGCTGAAGTGTCAAGTTGATTTGTTAATGCAGAGTGATGCATCACTCATGACACCTATGGTTATTGATCTCTGGGACTAGGGATATTGTCCCATGGGCGTAAGATCCTGTTGATCTTGCTTTTGCTGTCTTCTAAGTATAATAAATGGTCTAAATCCAATTAGAATCTTTTTGTCTTTACTGACCTTATCTACAGATGTGTGGCACTGCCACCAGCTGTTACTTAGAGATCCCTTAACTGCTTGAAACGCCTCACATTTACATTGCCTCTAATGACATGATTTATCACTAGGTCCCTTAAGCCACACTTACATCATGACAAGCATATAAATCTAACAATAGTCCAATTCTAGAGTTAATATAAAAAAAACCTTTATTATTCAAAAACAAAATTGAGGTTTTACAGGGTGAAATAATTGAAACATCTGTCATTAAACATTATATATATGTATATGTATATATATTATGTATATAGATATTATGTATATGTATATATACACATACAACACATATATGAGTTAAAGTGATAACTTGAAGACTGTGAGAAACATACAAAAGTGTTATATGGGAAGCAAATCAGAACACAAATTTTAATCTGTGTTATTATTTCACAGTTTAATTGCATGTATAAATGTGAAACAAATTACAAGGGAACACAGAAAGGAAATATGTTTTGAGGCAATTTGGGTCATGGGAGGACTGTTTACTTTTTTTCTTGTAAAGTTTGTATGATCCAAATGAGAGAAGTTACCTTTAAAATGTAGTCACGTTAGCAAAATTCTTGGGGAAATTATATTGGTGGTCTCAAAATAAAACACAAGCACTAAAGCCATAGAGGCTGCTGTTAATTTTTATTAACTCCTCATTCAGGTTGTCACTAGATTCATCACAGTTAGAATTATCAAGCACTTTCTGCATGCCAGGGACTGTGCTAATCATCTTACATAGATTATTTCTTCTAATAAGCACAACAGGTACTATTTTTATCACTTCAAGGGTTAGTTAGCTGGCTTAGGGGTCACATGCCTAGTCAGAGATGAAGTTAGGATTTCAAGTAGGCAAACTGGCTCCAGAGCTGTGGGACGTAATGGCAGGTAATCTTCATAGAGCGAATGTCAACTTAGATGATGCTGTAAATCTAACTCTACACTCTGGAACCTTAGGGGGACAAACACTTGTGCACAATTCCTTCCCATCATTCTAGCATTTCCATTAGATATGTGTGTCAGCGTTTCCCTTACAGCTTGAAAGCTAGATCTAAGACTACTTAAGCTAGATCTAAGGCTGGATGTTTGCAGTTTATCATAATGAATCAGTAAGATCCATTTTACGAAACAAAAGCCTCAAACTCGTTGTAACTTCATTCTTTTTGATTGTGATTTTAAAAAAAATCACATTGTACTTTAACCCTGTGTAACCTGCAGAAATCTTTGACCAAAAGGAACACGGTTTTTTTTTGTTTTGTTTTCTGTTATGGCCAGTTAGGTACTACGTAGGTGATAAGAACTGAAAATGGAGAAAACAGATTAAAAAACGGAAAACCAGATTGCGAAGGGAAAAGTTCTGAGAAAAACGGACAGAGGAAAAGTAAGGGGCGCTAAGTTAGGCTGGAAAAGAGAAAGGAATGGGGTGATGAGGGGGGAGGCTCTTTAGGTCAGAAGCAACGCACTTTCTTCCAAGTTCTCGCCACGGGTAAAACAAGATTCAGATGCCCGACCTTGCAAACGTCCTTCAGCTGTTTTATTACAGTTGTGTCCATACCTTCCCAGCGACTCCATTCGTACCTTTAGTTTCCACTGGTCGGAGTAGCTACTGCAGACATTGGGAGTTTTCAGAGCTGCTGTCGCAGGACGCAAAGAAGCCTTTACTCTCCTTTCAGGGGGCTCAAGATTGCCTACACTGTTGCCTGTAGGCACGTGGTTTTTTTGTTTTTTGTTTTTTGTTTTAACCTCAAACCACCCCTGATCCCCCCGTTTATCTTCCTGGTGCCGGAGAGTCGACGGAGATGGGGACACTGGACGGGAACTAGGGTTTTGCGTCCCCTTAGGCAAGCCAAATACAGAAGAGCGAGAAGAGAGAGCCAAGACTGCCAGGCGCTGAAAGGGAGAAACTGGATGAGAAGAGAGAAGGCGACACAGGAGAGAACCAGCCTTCCGGCGGCTACCGGCCTTATAACACCCCCCCGACCAAGCTGTGCAGCCAGTGAGCCGCGGGTTACCACGGCAACCGTGAGGTCTCGCGAGACCGGCGTTGCGCCTGCGCACTGCCGCTGTAGGGCTGCGTCCTGAGCCTCCCAGCCACATTCCCGGACTCAGGGCTTTTATAGTTCGGTCTTCGCGAAGCTGTGGGCCGACTCTCTATTGTGAGTGACAAGGTGAGATGATGAGATGCGAAGCTCTCTGAGCATTTGGAAGGCGGGGCCAGGGAGGGCGAGGGCTCTGCGCACGCGCGTCGCACGTGGAGGTGGTGCGGTTGCCATCGTGAGTGGGAGCGGGGTGCGGGGGACGTAAGGGGACCGGAGGGGCGCGCCCCGGGTGGGATCCGGCCTGGGAGGCGGCGGAGGGCGGAGGGCGGCGGGCACGCGAGGTCCCGAGGTCTTCCCCGAGACCGCTGTCTCTCGGGCCGCCCCGCGTGAACGGGCGTACTTTCCTGGGCCTTGGTTTACTCTCCTCTGTCTGGAGCTGAGCATCTGTAGGGTACGGGAAATAGTAAGATAAAGCCCACCCTGGTCCTTCAGTGCTCCACAGCCTAGAACCGGGGACGGACCACAGAATAACTAGAGTTTGCGAATCTAAATAATGAATGAGGGCACTAGATACAGGGCAGCATGCACGGGGAGGGGCTCTGGGACAGGAATGCAGCCAGCGGGGACTGGGGCTGTCCTCCCCTCCGCTACCGGATCTAGAGACCGGAGTCCTTCCTCTGCGTTACTCCCGGGTGATAGCACCAGGCCTGGTAGATCCTACCTCTTAACTATTTCAACTCTATGAATTTCTGTCCCAACCCCTCTGCGGCGACTCTAGTGCAGGCCACCGTCGTGCCTACTCTGGGAACCTCTTTGCTCCTTCCACTCTTGGCGAAGGACGCTTCCAGGCCGGGAATCCGCAAAGATCTTTTTGCAGTGCCTTTCAAATCATGGCACTCTTCTGTTTAAACGTTACAGTTGCTTCCCATTTATAAGGTTTGCAAGGACCTTCACCCTCTCGTCCTTGCTTCCTTTCCCTAATACCTCACCCTCTCTAGCATCTCTGCCTCAGCGACGTTGAACTTAATTCGTGTCCTTAATGTTGTTCCCTGGGATACTCTATTTCAAACTCCCTTTGGCAGGCATTCTTCAGATGTAGGTTAAAAGGTCAATTTCTCCAGGACCTCTTTTCTGACTCCTTAAGCTAAGTTAGCTTCTGCTGTTTCCTTAGTATTCTGTAGTTCCCGGACTTGAATTGCACATCTTACTATGTTATTACCTGCTGATATGTCTTTTTCATGGATTCTAAGCGCGGTGAGGCTAGTAACTGTTTTTACTTTAATACTTTATGGCTTGGTGTGTTGTGGATAATCCAGAAATACTTGCTGAAGAAAGGTGGTTGTGGGGGCTGAAGGTGGAAGGGACTAATGTGTATGAGGATATGGAGGTTAGAAACTGGTGGCCTCGTTCAACAGTAAGTGGTTCAGTGGCGGGGTGTAATCGCGCATGGTGGAAGAGGCTGGTGGATGATGAGGGCCAGAGTGTGGAGGGCCTTGTAGGTCACCCTAAAGGGTTTGCCCTTGATCCTGTATGTGGTGAATGCCTCCAAGACCTAGCTCAAAAGGCACCTCAGCAAAGCCTTCCTGTTTTTCTCCTCCAAAACCGTTGCGGCTTCTCATCAATCAGTACTTTGTTTTTGGATTATATGGTGTAAGAGTCTGCGTATCTGAACTACTTGGCTCTGGTCTCCCCGCGCTAGATTCTGAAGATGGGAGTTCGTGCCTAGCTTACTCTCCCTCCAGAGCATACAACTCTTAAGTATTTACTTAAGGATTTCCGCATTCTGTGCTGTTTGAATGCTGAGGCCCATGAGCTGACTTGCAGTTTGGCAAGAGCTCTGTTAGATCGTATTTGTCTTGTCTTCCTGACCACCTTCAACCTGATGCCGGTCCTCTACCAAGGATTTGGCTGAGCTACTTCCTGACTCCCCGAGCTGGAGGGGAACAATGAGAAAATGGGGGATGAGGAGGGCTGTGCAGCAGGTAACCAAGGCTCTGGCAGCACTGGCATGAACGAAGTCTGACCCTGCCCGGAGGAGCTGAATTTTAGATTTCTGTTAGGTGACTTAGGAGGTACACTGGATGGAGACCAGTGGAGGTCAGAAAGCCGTTTCTCACGGCTGTCCAGGGTCAAGAGGCAGCCTGTCCTACTCCAGCTGTTCTAACCCTGTTCTGGATCAGACTCACCTGGACAGTTTTTTTTTTTTTTTTTTACAAATACAGGTGCCCTGGTCCTATTCCCAGGGATTCCAATTCAGTACATTCAAGATAAGGACCAACCATTTGTATGTTTTAAAAGGCAACAGGTTATTTTTGAGGTGCAGCCAGGATTGAAAAAGCATAAAGTTCGGGTTTGGAAAACCAATTGTGGCTTTGGGCAAGGCATTTAATCTGACTGTTTCTTCACCCACATGTTAGGCAATTCTATAGGAATTTTGTGAGAATCAAGTAATAGATGGAGAAAATGCCTTCTATGTTCTGACACACTCCACAAAGACACCTGCTCTTTACCTGGTGAGTGGAAGTTCAGTTGGAGAGGACTTAATTCTTAATTGTGCATGGGCATTTCGGGGAAGGCAAGCCTCAGTGGGATAAATGAGCACCTGGAATGAGGGACTGTCTGGAGGGAGAAAATCTGGTCATCTGAAAATAGGGACAGTTCCAGATGCCAGACTTCTCGCGGGCTGGCTCATTTAACTTCCTTCAGTTTTGCCATGTAGGTCACTATGGTTCTTAGCTGAGCACCAGGAAGAAGCAAGGAATAAAACTGAGGGAAGACAAATGCACTTGCTCTGGGAAGGAGAGCCAAGATATGCTCCCTACATCAGTGGTTTATAACATTTTCCCAGGAAGGATCCTTCTTATTTTTCTTTAACGGATTTGTATTTTTAAGTTTCATCACAAAATTTCCCTAGTTTTCCTCAAGTTGCCAGCTGCAGAAGCAGTCAGCTTGGAATAACTGTCCAGAAGGGGGAATATATACCTGTGTATGTGGGAGATGTTTAAGGAAGGATATACAAGAAGCCTAGAGTTCAGGGAGGGAGAGAGACTTACAAAAGGGCATAGAATGAAAGTATCATTTGAATTTGTAATTGTGTACATAGATTACTATTCTGGTTCTTAAAAACCCACACCTGGTTGATTATAAACAGCAGAGGCTTCTGGGCCCACACAGCTTGGGGGCTCCGTGCAGGTGGACTTGCACACAGGGGGGTGCTCAGGGAGTCTTTGTGGGATGGAGGCCTAACTGGAGAGCAACTCAGAAAATGGTAACAGATTTGTAAGATTAATACCACACAGTCATGAAAAAAGATAATCATGAACAGGTAGAAACATGGAACATTTTTAATAAATGAAATAGGATTTCACTGTGATTGCAGTAATGCAAAGCATTTATATATTACCTGTATAAGAATAAAGACAAAGTCATGAAAAGATGGGGAACAGAAATTCCTTAATCTTAAAAGAGGTTTAGTGTATGGTCATGTCATTGGTTCTGTATAGTCAGGCTTGCTATATAGCCTATCAGGAATCAGAAAGAGTACAAACAAGATATTCTTCTGACATGCACTGCTCATAACACGAATTTACTTTGTCGTCTGCTTCTTAGGAAAGATTTTCAGAATGGCTGCAGCCCCTCAAGCACCGGGGAGGGGCTCTGTTCGGAAGACAAGACCTTTAACGGTAAAGACAGCGCTGAACAACCCATATGCTATCTGCTGGAGTGCACTAGAGAGAGAAGACATGCACTTTATATTACACACCCTTGAAGACAGATTTAAATCGCTTGGGCTTCAGAAGACTGAGGATAAGAAGAAAAAGAAAAAACCGTTTTTAAAAAAACAAAGCCCAGACAAATGTAGCACAGAGGTTGATACGAGTGAGGGTCAGAAGGAGGAACCACCAGGAGATAATGAGCAAGGGTCAGGGTGGACTCCTGTCCACATCAGGAAGCAGCTGACCATTGGCGTTAATGAGGTTACCAGAGCTCTGGAAAAGAATGGGCTGCTGCTGGTCCTAGTGTGTAAGTCAGCCAAGCCCGCGCTCATTACCTCACACCTGATTCAGTTAAGTTTGAGCAGATCCGTTCCTGCTTGTCAGGTTCCCCGTCTCAGCGAGACACTTGCACCTGTCATTGGCTTAAAATGTATCCTGGCCTTGGGGTTCAGAAAGGACACCACTGCCTTTGTTGATGAAGTCAAAGCCATAATTCCCCGAGTACCCAGTTTACACGTACCATGGCTTCAAGGCAGACTGGAAGACTCCAGGGAAAAACCAGACACTGAATCTTTGGAAAGCCAAGACAAAGAGATTTTGGAAACTTCCTTTGAAGACCTCTCTAAACATAAAAGGAAGCTTGCTGAAGGTCAGCAGGCTGTTGTGTTACAGCCCCTGAAAATAAAGAAAGTGATTCCAAACCCCAATAAGATAAGGAAACCACCCAAAGGTAAAAAAACGACTTCAAAGTAATCTATAAACTTGTCATTTCGTGTAGTTGTAAAACAACACTTCGTAAAGAAGCCTTAAAACTAATAAAATGTGTTATTTTTACATATATTCTTGGGGTACTTTTAGTAACATTCCTTTCATAGGTGTGAGACTGTATAAATAGGCTGACACTTAAAAACACTTAAGTGCAGAAAATATTCAAAAGTACGAATATCAGGGGCGCCTGGGTGGCTCAGTTGGTTAAGCGACTGCCTTCGGCTCAGGTCATGATCCCAGGGTCCTGGGATCGAGTCCCACATCGGGCTCCCAGCTCGGCGGGGAGCCTGTTTCTCCCTCTGACCCTCTCCTCTCTCATGCTGTTTCTCTCTCGCTTGCTCTCTAATAAATAAATAAAGTCTTAAAAAAAAAAAAAAAGTATGAATATCAAAACAAAAGTTTATTGAAACTAATGTCCATGCTTGTATAAATTCATTTTTTAAAAGCCTGGTACAGTGCTTGTAAGCAAGAAACTCCGTATCCTACAACACTTGACATCTTTCTATCAAACTTGGAAAATGTGCCACAGTAAACAGGTTCTAGTTAGTAATGCAGATGAAACTGGATTGGAGATCAATCAGTTTTAAAAGAAAGATACTAAACACCAAGCAATACACTGTCTTCAGAAACATCAGGAAAAAATTATTTTTTTACTTCCTGTTGATCGGACTTTTTTTGTAGTAGGCATATGCATGAGCTTGTAGGAAAAAGCCAGATGCAGTATTTTGAATGGTTGAAATTCACCCCTTTACATGGTTAGCTTATTTCCTTGGAAAATTAACATGGGTAAAAAGTATGCTGATAATTAGGTCAAATGAGGCAGGAAGAGAAATAAAGTGAGGAGCTTGAGGTCTCAGAGATGGGTTTGTGCAATTACTGGGGTTCTTCATGTTAGAAAATGGAGCATAATCAATCCTCTACGTCTGTGTTAAAGTGTCTGCCATTTGCAGTATGTGTTCGGAAAAGGTCCTTTTGTAATTTAGGGGGAAGGTACTGGATTGCTGAAGTGTATTTTCAGCCTAAATTCTGGTTGACTCTTGGATTATGCCACCTCTGTTCTTTTAAATTTTATTAAATGCCATCTTGGCAAAAAAAAGGAGGGGATGGGGAGGGAAAGACACCTCATGGAACAGAGCATTTCCATTGTTGACAAAGATGAAGGACAATGTTTTTTTGAATCTCTAAGACGCTGTATAATGCAGTGAAATTTAATTCTAGTAACTACTTTATAAACACAAGTAGTTTTATCAGTTTTCAATTTTGAAATGTTCATTGGTAATCTAAATTATAAAGAGGCCTTTTAAAGAGGAAAATATGCTATTTATTAATTACTGTATTAAAAGCATCTGAATTCTATAACAACTGGAATTATGTAAACAAATAAAGGAAAAGTGCCAGATTTATCACGACGTGAGCTTGTGATAAAATTACTGACTGGCAAGTCTGCAATCACCTGAAAACCTACATCATATAAGGCTGTGCCTTAAAAATGAATGGAACACAATTCCCAACGAGAGACGTGACTCCAGATTCAAATCCCGTTTACTTAATTCTTGGTGTTTTGGTGGACTGGTTCAGTTTTGCTTCCGAAGCCACTCTCCTTCTGTTAAGAAAGAATGGTAATGCAGTGGAGTCGGAATCGTCCTATAAGAGAAGTCTTCTCTAAGGCTCCAAAGAGGTAAACCCCGCCGGCCTGACTGTGCACTACTGTGCAGTCCCCGAGCCCCCTCTAGTGGTGGTTGCAGCTGTGGGTTTGTCTTTAGGACGATGGTGCAGAGTGGCTTTCAGCTCTAGTAAGTCAGGGACGACAATTTTTTTTCCCCCCTGTTAAGGGCCAGACAGTAAATATTTTAGGCCTTTTGGGCCATAGAGTTCTGTCAGAATAACTCAACTCTGCCTCTGTAGCGTGAAGCAGCCACAGGCGATACGTAAGCAAACGAGTGTGGCTGTGTCCCAATAAAACTTTATGGATGCTGAGATTTGAGTGTCCTACAATTTTCACATGTCACAACATGTTATTCCTTTGATTCCCCCCTTCCCGCATCCCCCCCGCTCCCCGCCCCATCCCAGCAACCATTCAAAAATGTGAAAACCATTCTTAGCTCATAGGCTGTACAAAAACAGGTGACAGGCTGGATCTAGCTCATGGGCCAGAGTTTGTTGGCTCCCACCTGATCTAAGATATGACTGCTTTCATTTGACCACTTAGAACATAAAGGAAAGGCTGTCATGTTGTCTAAAATTAAATTTTTCTGGACAAAAGAGCCTAGGCACTGGCACAGTAAAAGGCAGGAAGAAGGATCTACTCTGTGGTATCTGAGTCAAAGCCAGTGCTTTGTGGCTTCATTCGGCATATTCCTGCCCCTCCTTGGACTACTGGCGATATATACATATATATGTACACTGCGAAAACGGGGTTTTCAAATTCTAGATAAAAACACCATCAGTAACAAAATTATGAATACTTATTTACATATATTTTCCATTAGCATGACAGCTTTCATGATAAAGTCAGCATAAAGGAATATGTGCAATTTTGCATAAGTCATAAAAAACATTCAAACTATCTATGTCCTGATAGCACTAATAAATTCCACTGAGCATTTCTTGTGACTTTAGAACTTTTATTTTCTTTGCCTGACATCTCTGCTGCTGCTGAGAAGACACGAGTTTGTGCGGCAGCAGCGAAGTCTAGTCACTCACGGGTGTACTCTCAGCACGTGTTTGCACAAAACTTTGCTTTTGAACCAATCCACTGACTGCTGGAGATCAAAGTACACATCTGTGTGTTTATTTGGCAACTCTGCTTCCGGAGGAATAAATGTACTTCCCAGTCCCCAGTACATTTTTATCTCCCTCTATACTTGAACACCCACCTACTCTGTCACCGAGTTATGGAAGGTGCTGATTCCCTAAATGCTCCCAGGGATACTGTGTAAGGTGACGGGAGCACACATTTTCCACATGGATCCTTTGTTCTGTTACACGGACAGACAGACCAACACTTAATAAAGAGAAATGCAGCAGTTTATCTCCACACAATAGCAAAGATTTTCTTACACAGTTCTGTGACTTCTTCAGTCCACAGAAAAACAGTCCCTTTTCTACAGAGTGGAAAAATACCTTCTCTTCATCAAGAGACAGCCCAAAGTCTGAAGATTAGAGGAATGTGCTCTCTGTACCCTTTCATCCCTCCTACAAATGGGTAAACAGTGAGAAAAAAGAATGTTAACATTCTAGCTAGAAATATGTACTATTGGTCACATACGGGTGGTTTTTTTTCATCTTTTCTGATTGTTACCGACTACATCGATTTCACTTAAGTTGTGCTTTTATTCTTCTTTGGAATGGCAGTTCCAGGAATCATTAAATAGAATATTAACAAATGATGATGTCAGAGTTCTAGAAATAGAAATATCCATCTATTGTAATACTAGTCCAACCTAAAGGGAGGGAAGAAACAGAATGGTAAGAACAGGTAAGCGAGAAAAAATAAATTACAGTACAATAGCTCTGTAGTTTTTAAAAGCTACTAAAAAAAACGCCTTCATCCTAAGGGCAGCAAGTATGGGATTTCCTAGGGACATTTGTTAGGTTTATAAAGGGTGTAGCTACTGCACTTACCTTTTCAGAATCTGTTCCTGGACATCTCCAGTTGTACAAGTAATACTGCAAATTGCCGTCTCCTATGCCAAATTTGAGTTTTTCCAAGAAGGTCTTATTTTCCATCAAATCTAGTGCATTGAATACATCAAATCCTTTCTGCCAATGTAAAAAGGATTTCAAATTTTAAACATCAAAGGACTAGAGTGTTTTCTATTATTATGTACTGCAGTGTACCGTTTTATTCCTCTACTAATAGCTCAAATATGCATTTATAACAAGGTTTAATGTCTACATTCTATGTATAGGTTAAGAACTCAGTTCAAAACTGTCTTAGGATATTTTCAGAAGGAACATTTTCCCAGGGGGCTCCATCTCCAGAGCTGTTAGTTATGGGACTTTTGAAGTTCTGACTGAGCTAAAGCTTTAAAGACTTTAAATGTGTACTTGGTCTTGGGCTGATGCTTGGAAATAAATTTAGTAAAATTTTAGTAGTAAAAATTGTATTTCTTGAAAATGTTAGGTAAAAATACTATGCAAAATGTGGTATAGATTTATATTTCTCAGGGGTTTTACCTTAAATCATTTATTATTGGCTTTTGGGGGGAAGTAGTTGAAAAAGAGCAATAGGATCAAAGAATCATAGGATAATGTTGTTTTGGAGATGGAAGAGTACTATGTTAAAAAAATGTTTTCAGTTTATCAAAGAAGGCACTTTGGACGTGTTGTTCTCAATTTCTCATGAATAATATTTTCTCATGTCCAGTAATTACACTGAAATAACTGTCAGCTAATTTCAACTTCTTTAAAAAAAAATGTTTATCTGTAGCAAGAGTTTAACAATTATCCTAACTACCACACTAAGGAAACAGAAAAATATTGCAAATATAGTAGAGCACATTTTGAATTTATTTCCTTTCATTTTAAATGCCTTTCTTTTTAATACTAAGCTCCTTAATTTTAAAAATAAAATTCCTTTAATTTTAAAATTCAGAGACTATTTAAGTTGAAGTTCAAAGGTTTCCTGTTGCTAATTATGCACTGCAACACGAACATGTATATTCCTTTTATCAAGGTACCATGTATTTTTCCTATATTCCTTGTATTATGGGTTTTATGCATTCTTCTATAAGGGTTAAGAGTTTCTAATTTGCACAAAATACCTTTTTGGCTAAGCTGCAATAGAATCAACGATACAAACAGCCTCTGAAGTTTTAAAAGAAAACTCTTATCAAAATTCTCCCTTTGACGGACTGTCAACAGTAACAAATATCTCAAATGAATTGCACCCGTGCAGAAGGAGCTCTAGTAAGAGGTTTTATATACTTTGGCACACATATTTGGAGAAACACAAAAAGGGCAAAGAGAAAGGACAAAACACAAAAAGGGCAAGAGAAAGGACAAAAAGGGAGGGAGCCGCTTACCAATTTGGCTATAATGAGCGCATCACTCATGAGGTCCAGCAGGGGCGTCTCCGTGTGAATGTTGTAGAAGGAGTAGGCGGCCTTGAGGCTCTTGTGCGCAGGGTGGTGCATGACTGTGGAGGGGAGTGTGTAGAAGCTCAGGAAGTCAGTTAGTTTACCACTGGAGTTCTAAAGGACAAAGGTAACGTCAGGTAAATACCTCCTTGAACATGCTGCATCCACGCATTTAAGCTCACTTTTTGATTTTTGACGTGTACCGTAACTTGCTGTTAGAACAAAAAGCAACAACTCCTACTACCTTTCTCTCAGCAGTCTGTTTGGGGGCCCAGAGGGTGGGCTGGGTAGAACCTGAGAAGAGCATGGTGTTGTACCTTTCTTAGCCTACTGGTAGCTGG